TATTTTCAGGTTTGTTTGGGTTAGCCACTGTCTTACTATAAACTTTATTTTAAGCTTTACAACACGAAAATTGATCTCAATGAACCCTAGATGATCAAAACTCGCGCCTCTATGTGGTTTAACAGTCGACCAATTGTTAATGCTATAGCAGTATAGAGTGATTTGCATGATATACCGTAGTTGGACAAAGAGTTTTTTTGTTCTGAGGTTTTTATTAATTTGGCCTCATTTGCATGTACGCTTTCGATAATTTCTGTGGTTTATGAAATTTGGACACGATCCTTTCCGATATGCATCTAACATCATCAATTCGGTCCTATTTGTGTGAACTGTCTGCAAAGATGCCGCAGACGATAATTTTAATGTCTTTAGAAACGTTTTCGGTTGATGATGACACTAATAGATAATCTACTAATTAACATGGAAAATTGGTTTAAATTACTTCGAAGTCGTTAGTTAAATGTTTTGTCGTCGAAATATTGTTTGAATAAATACCAGTTTTTTTCCCAAAACTTGTCATACACTATTACTTCTTAGCACACAAACACCGTCTCATAATGGAGAAAATAAACTTATTTAAGGCATGTACATACTGGCATTATAACGTTTACAAATGGGAAATCAATAGGAAATATTTATTGTCTTTTCGGCTATCTATTGCATTATTTTCGACATCACATTGCCCCCTAAAATCGACGTGAATAATTTAGTTAATGTACCTCCTTGGACAAAAACACGCAAAGAATACCTGAATATTTTAGTAATAATATGTTGAATGCCTTTCCAGCAGTAACTAAAATAACCGCAAATTAAACCATCTACCATTCTGTTGTTGTGTACCTACTAATGTTCGTTGTAGATAACGGCGCCCGGAAGTGTTGAGCAAAATGCGGATACAATCATTGAAACATAATGATTTAATTTCAATCGGTGTGACAACAGACTGGTTTTTTTTAATTTATAGACGTTTTGCTATATTTAATTTGCCTCATCAAATCAAAACCTGTTTTGTAAATTGGCGACTTTTTGCCGAATTTATGAATCCCCAGTGCTTCAACATGAGACAACAATATGGCAAAATGGGGCAATTAAAAAACTCACTTTTCTTTTCACACCGACTCAATTCCCGCTATTAAATCACGATTTAATAATATTTATATCCGTGCTTCGCCTCGCAAGCGACTACAAATAAGTTAGTTTCGTGTTTAGAAGCGCAACATCTAACTAAATGAAAAATTATGACATCCACTACCCGAATGAGCGTGAAATTCATCTCTTGATGAATATCTGGAGCGCCGTGGCTAATTGATTTAATTAAAACTGAACAAAAACAACATCCTGTTTGCTATCCATAGAGGCTTTTAAGTTATTAAAGAAATGCGCTACAATTTACATGAAGAGCTTTTTGAGAGCACATTAATTACATTACGTAAGTTGCTAAGGTTGAAAAATTGAGATGAAAGAAATGAGCTGCTTAATTGGTTTCAGAGTCTGTTAATCTTATCCTGTAATATATCGGGTGTCTCCTGCACTGGCGTATTTATCAGTTATTTGTAACGGTTCTTTGGTATATACCCGGTACTGTTTTGTCATTAATTCATACAAAGCTTATTAAATTATTAGCATTAATTAGCGCACTATTGCCAGCTATCGTAGGTCTTCATCCCAGTCAAAACGCATTATTATTCAGTTTTATACTAATTTTAAGCAAATTTTTGCGCTACTCTTCCTTGAGAAAACATAGTCTATTGTACATTATTTGTTTTTCTTTTGGTTCTACGTTTTTAATCATCTGCGCCTGTGATTGTTTGTTTCATGTAATGCATTTGCATCGATTTCTTGAAGAAGACCTTTTACTGTCCAAAACTTCTCCTCTTAAGCAGCTAAAAAATCCCTTCGTTATATTTCCCGCTTTTAAACTTCCTGCCTGTTGTGTTGTTTCTGGACATTTTCATCTGACAAACCTTGGGGATAAAAAAACCGAATTTTCATTCACTTGGATGAATTTATGATTGAATTTCAGAAATCCGCACGCTTTTGCTTCTTATTTATTGGCCAAAATGCTAAAAATTGAGCTTTGGGAAACAGAATATGATGATAAAGGCGTGGGAGAAAGGTCAGCGCCACAAAAAAATATTTATTGAGGACAAGTCTTGGCACGTTTCTGTGATAACTTGAGTCTGGTCTGTTGTCGCTAGACGCATTCGATAAAGTTTATTAATTCGTGAAAAATAACTTTGACGGTTCACTCAAAAATATCAGCAGCCAAAATGTTCAAATTATTATTCGCTGTATGCGTTTGCACAGCTTTCAAGCGATGTTTGCCCGCACGCAAAAACAAACTTATAGATACACTTTTCGATCGGCTTTCTGCTGGATCCGCAGGACAGATCGATGGTTGGTGTTTCAATTTTATTCCAATTATAAGATGCCATTTTGAGCTCGACAATGCACTTTTTCTGCTCGTTAGTCCTATGAAAATGTCAATTTTTCATTGTTGTTGCTAAACTTTGGAAACGCCGGGCTTCGGTCTGTACACCCATTGATCTTGTCACGAGGCGAATAACATTTTTTTTATGGAAGAAAAACGAGGATAACAATGGAGGGCGCGCTTTAGCCTGACCCGAGAGACACACCAAATAACACAGTACAATCGGTTAATTGTTATACAATGGAGAAAGTCCGTGCTCGGTTAAATTAGATGGAAGATTGGTACCGTGCTATTGGATCAAAAAAGTAGCTCAAGTCAAATCTAGTTTCGTCGACTTTTCGTTTTTTAACAGAAAATTTGCCTCTGGGTGACGCTGAATGGAAGCACATGTTTATTGAAGTCGGCTATTTTAAGCCAGTTTATTGGACAGTTCACACGCATATGGAAGCGTTCAAGGGTTTCTTAACATAGAAGAAGATTTTGTTGAAAAAGTGGAATTTTAAGTTGCTGCATTCAGTTTGAGTGAAATTGATTAAAATGCTCAATTTTTCGCCTTTGAAGTGCAAGAACTTATGGCTCAAGAACAGTTGCGATACCAGTCACTTTTAAGCGCAGAAATTTTCGCGTATTTCTTCTGTCTGTTTCAAGAATTGAAATTCTTCTGAAGGTTTTTTGCTGTCTGAAGCAAAGAGAATAATTTTCTATCATTTTTACGACAAGCTTTTATTGTATTTCCTTAGACATAAAACACTGAGATTTGGCAAATTACGAGGCAAATTTTGCTTCGTAAAACCATTTTTGATGAAAATGTTAAAAATGTCTATTATTTCGGAACTGAAACTTCTACCATGTTTTTCAATGAGTTCGATGCATTCCTCGCGTCCCTGAGCTGAAAATGATGCAAGACTTAAGACATGTTGAGAAGATTTTCATTTTTTCAAAAAATCGACCTCCACCCTTGGAAAAATTTGGGCTAAAAATAATCAAAATTTGACATGCGTGTTTTGTGAGCTCAATCGATTCCTTTCGATGTAAGAAGGTCACAAATATGCATTTATAAAGCGTTTGGGTCAATAATGAGGAAGAAATTGTCGGTTAAAGATCGTGAACACTCAAAAAACGTTAAAATGTGCCGAAAATCTCCATTATTTCGGATCTGAAACATCTAGCACGTTTTTCAATTAGTTCGATGCATTTCTCGCATCAGTGAGCTTAAAATTATGTCAAATTTAAGACATTTTGAGAACATTTTCATTTTTTCAAAAAATCGACCCCCACTCTTGGAAAAATTTCGGTCGAAAAATCAAAATTTCACGTGCCTGTTTTTTGAGCTCAATCGATTCCTTTCGACGTGAGAAAGTCACAAATATGCATTTATAATGTGTTTGGGTCAATAATCAGAAGGAAATCGTCGGCTAAAGATCGTGAATGCTCAAAAACGTTTAAAATGTGCCGAAAAGTCTATTATTTGGGATCTCAAACTTCTAGGATGTTTTTTAATAAGTTCGATGCATTTCTCGGAGATGAAAATGATGTAAAATTTAAGACATTTTGAGAAAATTTTAATATTTAATATGCCAAACGCATTTAGGGATTCTATGGAAGAGCCTCTTCAAATGTAAAAAAGTAGGTTCAAATCACTTGAAATATTGAAAAAATATATGAAATTTGGCAATAGAACATCGAAAAAACCCAAACGAAAAACAATCGGGTTCCATAAATTAACTGGTTTAATAGCCGCGCCATTTAACTATCAACTTATTAAAAACCACCCCTGATAAATTGCCAGTTTTATAAACCCGATTTGGTCTAATTAAAAGCGACAAAAATGCTCAACTTAATTCGGTTATCCGAAAAAGCTGCGGTGATTCATTGCGTGAGCGTTGCAAGAAGACTGCGACCCTCTTGAAAAATGGGCTGCAAAAAACATTATAATTTGACAGCCCCCTTCTCGATACAAGTTCACTACTAATCAAATTGTGATGTATCATTTTCGATCTTTGCCTATACACAGTATTTATCATCTTTGGCGAAATGTGGGGATGCTAATAGACTTCTATCGCATCGTTCGTTGCAATGGAATCGACCATTTTTCCCGTTTCATCTGAGCAAAAAAATAAATGGTTTTGTTTAATTAATTATTATAAATAATGATGTTTGTTTAATTGCAGGAAATCAGCCCAACTGTGACACCACAACTGTTCAATAGCAGAGAGAGAAGCACCTACAATTTTGTATTGGTATTTTGATTTTCCGCAATATTTTTATCAAATTACCGTATTTCCATGTTGCGATACCGCATCAAAGCAGTCGATTTTTCTCTGCCGAAGGAGAGGTTGCTTAGTTATTCATCACGATGCGAATTTATCGTCTCTTTGGGTGAAGCATTTCTCTACCGCGCATTGCAAAAAGCGAGAAAATGTCGGACCACTGTGGGGAATTTGCGATTTCGTATCTTAATCGAGAAGGAAGAAATGTGTTATTTCTGCATTTCCCAGTTCCTTCGGCGCAAATAGCGAAATTAACCAATCAAATAACTCCACCGGAAAAGGAAAATTATACAAATTATAATGATTGTTATAATTTAGACGCGAAATTAGCAAAAACTGCTTATTTATGTCGCCAAGCTCATTAAATTTGGCCAGTTGAACTATATGCCATCAAGCTTTCACATCTTGACCGCAGATATGCAAATGCCTTATCAATATTTACTCGAATTTGCATTTAAACCAATGACAATTTTCGAACAAAAAACACCGATTTTAAAGCAAATGTATTTGCTTTGAATGGCGCCAAGGCAAAAGACGCTATTTGTTTTATTATTAAATTATCAATACAAATGCCACATTTTCCGAGCTCCAAGGTTTACCTCAGGGAAACTAAATGCAATTGTTTTTAGGTACTGAATCATATTTTATTCGCGTTTGCCGAGTAGAAAATACAGAGTGGTCCTCACAAAATGTGTGTCATTGAAAGTGGATGTTTTTTGTCACTTTTGCAGCTTTCACTCAATATTTATTTGATGAGGCAACAGCAAGTTCAAAACATTGATTCGTTCGGTTTTCATATGAGGAGGACGTCGGAATGTTGACTAAATAACTGTTGCAATGAAGGCATGCTTTAGCAGCAAACAATTTGAGCTTTTTGTAGCCAAATCTTCATTTGCTTCCTAGCAAAACTTAATTTACTTAGATTCTGCGTTCTTAAATCTGCTCCACTTTCATTGATTGCACAGTTTGATGMTTATAATCRTGTTTATTCTGTAGTTCTGGKGKCTTTTTTTCTCGRAAAGGTGTATGAATGTTCAGTTTGCCACCTACAATCGGTCTATAATCGCATTAGATGGGAAATATAGAATAGAAATACAGAGGAAGTGCGGTAGTTTGGGTAGAAAATGGAGGACAGGGCGCCAGCTTGGAAAAAGCTGGTAAGAATGATCGTTAATCTGCAAATCTTTTMGCTTGAGCTGAGTTTAGTTTTCCGACAAGCAAGTGAAGTTTTCGGATTCTTTATATTGCTGTCTCTTTGCTTTGCTGATTTCAAATAAGTTTGGCTTTGGAGCGGYTTCCTGTCGGATATCGATCGAAAAAAGAAAATGTGTTTAATTTTTGTAGCGCATTTTTCGTGTCTGAGAAATTTACTTTCGGAAAACGCGATGCAAAATGTGTTCGCGCAACACTTTTTTGAAATCCTAAGCAAAACTTTTAAAGTCGTTCTGAATTCACTACCAAACTGCATTATATATAATCCCGGAAAGTAATGGAATTGCACATACTCACTGAAAAGTTCCAGAAGCGGCATAGTTAGTAATAAAGCCCTGGTGAAAGCTCACCAACATTGCTGTTTATTCAGTATGTACTTCATTTTATTGGTTTCAGCAGATATGCGATATGAAATCAGCGCGAATGCATACATACATATTATGCGCACCTTCACTCGAAGAAATGAGTTAAAAAAATAAAAAATACACATACAGTGCGGTCGCTTGCAATCCATTTCCTATTAAAACTGTTTTTGTCGTGTGGATTTTTCGTCACCCCTCCAGTGATCCCTAATGAATTAACTGAATTAATTAATGATAATTTGAAAATCTACATTTAAAATCTAATAAATCCAGGTCTACTGGGTCAGGGACCCGATTTTTTTCCGGCTCCGTCAAAATACGAAACTGCGACTTTACCAGCACCTCAGCCTAGCTAAACGCGGCTCAAGGCTGATCCCAAAATACAAGTTACACTATTATAATGCGGAAGATTGTTCCTATTATTCTACTAGGAGTTATATGGAAATGAGCATAAATTAGCACACGAGCTTAAGTGGTATTTTAAAATCGCGACTGGGCTACGACGCAAAACGTTTATGCATTTTTCAGCAGCATTCTTAGACGAATGGTTATCTTACATACATAATAATTGATGTTGCTTCTTACGTGTCAAGCCAATAGAATAAGCAATTTGGTTGGAGAAGGTTTTATAAGTTCGGCTCTGCAGGGTCTAACATGTTCTGTTGTTGACATTTTTGCGCTCAACTCATAGATTTCGACGCAAAAGTGCCCCTATGTGGCGCTCTATCCAAGATTTCACTCTGAATTTATATAGAGTATTGATAACTACCGAAAATCTCAAAGTGAGTGAAGTTTTCGGAATATTTTGGTTCACTAGTTGGGAGCCGGCAGTTAATTAATTAGCTCCTTTTCCATAACTCCACATGAATGTCCGCCACTTTATAAATAGCAGATTTGGGGTTTCGATGAAAACGAACCCGCTTAAGAGTTTACCGATGAAAAACTCATCACAAATTACGTTTAGTGGTAGCATTAACCAGCTTTGAGCCAGAAAGTTTGAACGTTCCCCATTCGTTTGCGAATATTTTATACATGTACGCAGAACAAAGGCAGTCACTCCTGCGTAGAACGTCTCACACCATAAAGTATTCGAAATGCCTTCCGTAGGGCCGCAGGAAATGCAGGGGTTGATTTATTTTTATGGAGCGTGAACATCCTGTGAATTTCGTGTGTCCCCATGTGTTCTGTGCGAAGCTATTAGGGATTGCTAGCTTGGGCCTTGCTGGAATTAGGAGAATTGTCTCCTGCTTTCGTTGGCTGATTCTTCTGAGGCTCATAATGGGGCTTTTAAAATGCAGTAGGCACCCACACTATTGTTGCGCCTTATATATGATTCGGATTGCATAATGGTTCAATGACTGGTTACCGTTTTGCAAATCAAAATTTCCCGGCTGTTTATGCTCTTATTATGAAAGTAACCTTTTACACCGCAGTATTATGCTACTCACATAAAAAGCAAATGGTTTTTTCTACTCGTCTAATGTTTTCCCGCCCCATACGATGCCAAGTTGTGTAATCGATTTTCTAATTGGTAGCCAAACACCGCAAACTTCAGCTTCTTATGCTGAGCTCCACCCAAAGTGCGATGCTAATTAAAGAAAATACGAAATTCTGTTTGCAATTTGATCAGCACCAATTAGAGTCAGCTGACGAAATATGCCCAATTTTTCTAATACTCCGTACATTTATCATGCAATTAGTGGTTATGTGCCAAAATTAGCAAAACAGGTGTTGGGCTAATTGGGAGTTAATCAATGCGATATAAATAAAGCGAGCTTACCCAAGCGAATATGTATGTTTTACTCTATTTTTGGCTGAAAATTGGATACTTTTAGATTTTGCGTATGGGTGCTAATGTGGTCTATACGTCAATGCATTTTACGGCTTTCATAATAATCAATCTAATTTGTTCGGTACATTTTCACCTGATTTATTCCCACGAGGTGAAGGAGGCCAATTGCTAGACACTGTTAAAAAAATCTGGTTTAATTTTCAGATACTTGCTATTGAAAGTACAAATGACTTTTGGCAACAAAGAAGAAGAAGAAAGAGGTTATTTTATATTGTTGTTGTTCAATGGTCGCTTCCAGTGTTTACCCTCTATGTTCTTCTATACCTTTCGACCGTTTAAGCCAGCAATACGCTAAATATGTTTTCTTTTGAATGGTCAAGGGATCGACTGCGCTTAAGCGATGTTTTTTGATTTATTGATTGGCCCAATAAATAACGTACTAAAAATTACGCCCCATAAAAAGAAAATAACGACGTCAATTTGCATTCACATGTGCTAATATCCTTTATTGGCCCCAAAGCTGGTGGCGTTCGTGTGCTTGTTTTTCGAAACAGTTAAATTAAATGTGTGTAACAAAGCAGTAATGGACATCTTGGCTTTTTTCGTTTTCTTCTTGCAGCCCAGTCGAGAGTGCTAATGATTCATTTTATGTAATTACGATTTTTTTTTGCTTTTGTATTCAGCTCGCGGGCAGCGTGATTCAGATGTTGGCACAGTCTATTCTTTGCGAGTAATCCGGTCGCTGTGGGTCCAAGAAGTGAATCATCTTCAACTCGCTTCGGCTTGAACTGCGTTCTTTGTTGCATTTGCTCTTTACCTTGTTTGTCAGAAAATCGACTTCCGCCCTAATTTGCTAAGATCTAAACAAACGCCACTCTAAACGTTTCATCAAGAATACACTATATTGGAGAATCATGAAGAGTTGTAACTGTTCTCTCTTTCTCTTCGGCAGTGGAAGTTTCCACTGTCCAGTTGGTCGAAATTGATTATGTGAGCACACAGGAGGCTGACAATGTTTCTAAGGAAGGAGACACATTGAAATGGAACCTTAGGTTGGTTGCTAAAGATCTTCAACAACCAAGCGTTTCTTTGCGATCACTTGACAAAACGGTAAATATTTTTTTTAACTCGCGTACATTATCCATTGATAGCAGATGAGAAATTGCCATTCTGCCGAGAGGATGTGGATAATTTCGCAATACCATTTTGCCCGGTTAAAGTTAGATCATAAATAAACCTACATTCCATATTTAGATTCCAAAAATAGTGTTTTAGCGGCAAAATTTGGCAAAACAAGTTAAAAATACATCATTTGGAATCGATTTAAGATCGGATATAAAGTAAGCGAAAGGGACCCGAAATATCTCAGAGGTTTACGACCTGCAAAACATCCGGGCAAACTGATCTGCCAAAGTATTGAGATTAGAGGTGCGAAAGAGACCCAAAACGATTTATTTGAAAATGTAGATTCAGCTACTTAAATGTTGATTTAAGTAAGTGCGAAATGTGGGCTGATTTTCATCAAGTCAATATTGTACCTACTTTATGGCCACTACTACTACTCGGATCCTTGATGGTTTACATGGTTGAGTAAATTTTATTGGGCATTTGTCATTCATCTAACCTGCATAATTTAGTTGCGCGTTTGGCAAGTTTGCCTAAAATTCCTCCAAAATTGCCAAGTCGGACGCCA